GCGCGCAGGGCTTGGCGACCGACCGGCAGCCGCTGCGCGCAGGGCTTGGCGCCCGAGGGCCCCGCACCGGTGCCGGGGGAGGCTGCAGCCTCAAGGCACCTCTGGCCCGGGTACAAGTTGTGGTCAATTAGCTCTCAATGAGCGGATGCTGAGTTAATGAGCAGGCTGCCTCCGGGCCCGGCGGGCTCAGGAGCGGCTTCCCTCTCCACACCGGGGACCCCTCCGCTGGGGCCCTGGGACGCGAGGGCAGGCCGCGGGGGGCGGGGGAGTCTGCGCCAGCCCGGGCACGACGAGACCCAGTGGGGCCGCCAGGGCCACCCTCGTGAGCTGCAGAGCCAAGCTCATCCCCCTCCGGACCCACCGCGCCTCCCGGTGCGCACAGGCCGGGTGGTCAGGCCCCTCCGCGCCCTTCGCTGTGCCCTCCCCAGGCCCTCTCCCCGAGGCCCGAGCCGCTTCCTGCCTGCGTCACGGGCCCCCCTTCGCCTCCGCCCCCCGGAGGCCTCACCTGCCGGCCTCGGGATCCCGTCCCTGCGGCACCGCCTCAGGCCGACCTCGCTGATCTGCGGTCCGCCTTAAAATCGGGAAGCTCAGGTTCTCTGAAAAGCCCGGAGACCTGGGGATCCAAGGCTGCGCCTGCCGGGGAGCGTGGGAACGGCCCCCCCGTGGCCGCGGCCCCCTCCCTCCTTATGCGCTCGGCCCCCTCGCCCCACCTTTTGCCTCCTCGGGGCCTCACGGGCGCTGGAGGCTGGGGCGCCCCGTGGGCCTGAGCCTGCAAAGCTTGCAGGTGGCCCTGTGACTGCCACGGAATCCGCCTCATGGGGGAACCCGGCTGCAACAAGCACCTAGCTTTGGAGGTAGAAACATCTGGGTTCACGGGCCTCTTCCAGCCAGGTAACCGGAGGCCAGTGACTACCTCCCATCTGCAGAGTGGGGACAACACTGTGCCATCCAGGAGCCTAAGGGTGAGTGAGCATCTCCCTGCTGCAGGAGGCAGGCGGGCACCCAGAGCTCTCTGTCTGCCTCCTCCTACCTCCTGGGGGACCCCAGGCCCAGGTGACCCAGAGAATCCGCCCTCCTGGAATCTCCCCTCTCCCCCTGCTTGCTCCTTTCTAACTGCATTTGCTCATTCTCAGGACTCTCCCACCTTGAAAACACGCAAACCCCTCTCTCTCCGGCCCTTGGAGGCCAAACTTCCTGGAAAGATGCCCCAGAGCGGCTGTGTCCGTATCGCCATCTGCCTGCCCTCTTTCCCCCTCTCCAGCCTGGCCTCCACCCCATCACTCTGCCAGACAGCTCCCTTCATGTCACCGGTGACCTCCATGTCACTAAACCTTCAACTTACTACACAGCGAGGCAGCATTGGACTCCTGTCCCGTGGCTGCCAAGAGTTCTAGACTGTCCGTGGTTCCCCTCCCCTTGATCGGCCCCGACTCCCCCGTGGGCTCTGCGTCCTTCGCGGGGCTGGTTGCTCACCTGTCCGTGATGCAAATCACAGTAAGTGTCTTCCCAAAGCTGCAGGCCCCCTGAGGTCTTCCTCCTGCCCATCCCTGGACTCCCAGCCAGACAGCAGCCATCCTTTCTCCTGGTCATTTTTCCCTCTTCTTCTTCCCAGGTAACCCAGGTACCCAGCCGAATAAGCCCAGTAGTTCCTGTGGCTTCAGCAGCAACAAAAGCACCCCCTCAGGCCTCAGCCCACGCCCGTCTCTTCTGATAAGTCTCCGGCACGTCTGGAGAACGTGCCAAGGAGGCTACAGCTGATGTTCCTTGTAGGTAGCATCTATTGACAGGCTGCTTAGCAAGGTGTAGGTGGATACTGGAGGGAAGTTTGGAACCTCAGGAATGGAAGAAAGAGCAGTAGAAATTATAAATATATGCATAAATGTAATGGACTGTTTTTCTCATAACTTCTTTAAAATATGTATAATGTGGTGGGATTTTTAAAATATGTCTTTATTGATTTCAGAGAGAGGGAGGGAAAGAGAGAGAGAAACACCGATGATGAGAGTCATTGATCGGCTGCCTCCTGCTCGCCCCCTGCTGGGGATCGAGGAGCCCACAACCTGGGCATGTGCCCTGACTGGGAATCGAACCACGATCTCCTGGATCCTAGGTCGACGCTCAACCGCTGAGCCCCATCAGCCAGGCAAAGTATGTATAATGTTGAAGGTAAAAATGATAACATTGTCTAGTGGGTTTCCATGTATGAAACGGAACAGTGTGACAACAGTAACATAAAAGGGGGAGGGTACACGTTGTAAGGCTTGGACACCCTACTTGAAGCATTAAAATATTACTGAACTCTAAATAGACTGTGATAAGTTGGGAATATATCATTATGATTCCCAGAGAAACACACACAAAACTACATTCAAAAAAACCAAACAGCCCGGCCGGTGTGGCTCAGCGGTTGAGCATCGAACCATGACCAAGGAGATGGAGGTTTAATTCCCGGTCAGGGCACAGGCCCGGGTTGCGGGCTCGATCCCCAGCAGGGGGTGTGCAGGGGGTGGCCGATCAATGACTCTCATCACTGATGTTTCTGTCTCTCTCCCTCTCCCTTCCTGTCTCTGAAATCCATAAAAATATATTAAAACTAAATAAACAAACAGCCCTGCTGGTGGCTCAGTTGGCTGAGCACCGTCCCAGGCACGAGAGGCAGCAGGTTCGAGTTCTGGTTGGGGCACGTGCCCCCCAGTATGGGGCGTGGAGGAGGCAGCCGGTCAATGTTTCTCTCTCTCATCGATGTTTCTTTCTCCCTCTCTCTTTCTCTTTCTAAAAATCAATAAGAACATGTTTTTTTTAAAAAGCACACAAAACAAAACCAGACATAGAGCCAAAACACCAAGGATAAATGAAAGCAGAGCCTAAAGGGCTCAGTTAGTGAAAACGATGGAACTCCAAAGTCCACCCCTTCATAAAAGCAATTGTTAAACAATTCTACACTTTATTTTTCTTATCTGATGACAAAGTTAATACTGAATGTGGCAAACATTTTAAACCTTATGCTCATTCCCCAAACATTTACAGGTTGACGTCCCTACACTCTCGACGCCAGCCTTCGTAGAAACGTGGCGCAAGCCTTGAGTGTAAGTTTCAGCTGCCACCTTTAGACGAGTAAAAGGAAGTAGATGAATTTAATCTGAGTAATATATTTTGTTTAGCCCAATAGATCCAAAATCGTATCATTTCAACGTGTAAGAGATTTAAAGCGTTCCTGAGAACCCTGGCATTCCTCTCCGTGTCCTACAAGGCAGCCGGCCTCCGCCCAGCCGAGCCCCGTTCCCAGGGCCCAGTCGCCACGCTGGCCAGAGGCCTCCCCGCGGGACAGCGGGACTCATGCTTCGGAAGGTGTACGGCTCCTAGGATCCCGACCTCGAGGGCCAACTACTCTTAGCTAAGAGCAGCCGTCAAGATGTTCTCTATGAAAGACATAGGTGTATATATTTGTGAATTAATCAGGAATCTTTCAGTTGACAGTGAAAGAAAATCACCTCAACGTGGCTTAAGGAAAAAAAGGTTGGAAGCGTCTATTGAATCATTTAAAGCCAGAGAGTAGGATCTGCCTTTAGGCACGCGGACGTCCAGGGCTCAATGTCACCAGAGCTCCGAGCTCTTTGTTTTTCAGCCCATGTTCCTCGGTGACAGCCGCCTCTGTCCACGTGACTGTCCTCTCCCACCCCCATTACCTCCTCCGGCCTCAAGTGCAAAGAGAGATTCTCTCTAACGTCTTGGACTTGGGGTTCATTAGGGTTTGCTGGGTTCAGGAGTTCAACTTGCTGCGGGGGCTGCAGAGCTCAGCCCTGCAGGCCCGGCCAGGTGTCCCCACCCCGGTGTCAGAGAGAGAGCCCGGCCTTGCGGGTGAAAGCAGGGGCTGGGCATCGGGTGGACAGGAACCACCTTCATGACTAGAACAGACTGTTGCTCACAGGTGGCATACACGGTGGAGATCGTAATATACACACGGACTTGCAGGAACCTGCTCTTTAAATATATCTCGGACACCTGTCCAAGTAGTGACCTAACTGGAAAACGCCCCAGCCTCCAATTCAAAGATGTGCCTTCATTTATTTAACCAGGCGCCAGCTGGCGAAGCTGTTTCCTATCTTTTGCTGCTGCTGACATGCTTGTAGCTAAAACTCAGTTCACCTGTGAGGGCTCTTCTGCGAGGTGTATCCCTAGCCAGGGACTTGCTGTTCGAAATTTCATATATAAAATTATATATATATAATTATATATATAAAAATTATATATATAAAATATATGTTATATATTATATATAACATTATATATTATATATTATAATATATATAATATATATAATTAGTGAACAACCGGAATTTACACCAACTGCGCACACCTTGGTCACTGCGCCAAAGGAGCCCCTTCTGGTTCCTACCCATTCTCCACCCCCCTCCTGACTTCTAACACCAAACGTGGTTTTTTTAAATTAAGGAAACAGCATGGAAATATATTTCCATCTTCTGCTGAAAACTCCGAGGTCCTGGCGGCCTCGCCTGGGTCCGAGTGCCCAGAGGTGCCGCCGCCAGCCGGGCAGGGGCCCCATGGAGCAGAGCCGCCGCCTCCCCCTGGCGGCCGATCCTGGGAACGTCCCCCGTTGCCCTAACCTGCCTGGTCCCTGGGGACTGGCGGGGTCTCTGGCCGGCCATTCAAGCTGTTTCTGAATTTCATTCATTGAAAAAATACTGTACAGAAGGAAACCAATTGATGATCTCTCTCTCCGCTCCCCCCCTCTCTAAAGTCAATAAGCATACCCTTGGGTGAGAATTTAAAAAAAAACAGTGGTGAAGTCCCGACACCTGCTACAACATGTAGCATGTGCTCAGTGACAGAGCCGGACACCAAAGACCACATGTTGCGTGACTATTTACATGAACGGGCCAGGAAAGGCAGGTCCATAGAGACAGGCAGTGGGCTGGTGGTTGCCCGGGGCTGGGGGAGAGGGGGTGACCGTTACCGAGTGTGGGGCTTCTTTGGGGTGACGAAATGTCTTAGTGTAGGCAGTGGTGGCGGTTGTGCGACTCCACACACCGAAAACCACCGAGTCGCACACTTTGGGCGAGTCACTGGGTGCGCGAATTCTCCCGCTGGCCTGTCCCCGGCCGCCCCCCGCGTGCGAGGGCTCCGAAGGGCGGAGCAGAAATACCCTCTGCGACCTTGGGCAGGTGGCATCAGCGGGCGTGACACCCACGGGTGCTGAGGGTCAGCGGCACACTCTTCTCCGTCAGGCCACGTAAGGGGCTTGATAGCCACGGGGGCCTGGAAGCCACCCCCCAGACACCGAGGGATTGTACTTAAGAAACACACGCTGCCGCGGGCCTGTCTCCGGAATTGCTGGGCCACAGCCGTCCGCCTCCTAAGGTCCCCAGTGTCTACGCGGGTGGCTCAGCCACGGTGTGGTCGGTTTCCTCGCCTCCCCGGCAGCCTCTCCCCCCCATCTGACAGGCAGTGGAAAGCGGCGGCGCATTTCGTTTTTCCGGCCACCAGTTTTAGAATCGTTCCGCATTTATTGGCCCTACTGAATTCCCTATGAATTTTCTGTTCCTGGCCCTCACCTGTGTTACTGGAATGTCTTTTGGTCAATCGGTATTTCTAACACGTTCTGTACAGATGTACTTTGTGTTGCACGTTGCAAATGTTCTCGTGGACCGGCGCGTAATGTATGTAAAACGCTTGGCAAGCAGGTTTTAACGGGTGACTTCACGCCTGGGCTGGTGGTCCCGCTGAAGGGCGTCGGTGCTCCCGTGGCTCTCCTCCCGCACCTCCCCTTCCCCACGCGCTAGCCCTGCGGGCGTCGGGCGAGTCCTCTGGCTGTGAGGCGACGTGGTGGCCGCTCTTCCACCCTTTCAGAAACACTTGGTACCAGAGTTCAGCACCAAGAGCCAGCCACGTGGCAGTGGGGGCATCTCGCCGAGAGTTTCCTTCAGTCCTCACCTGACCTTGGCAGGTTTATACATGAACGAGAAGCAGGGATGATTAAATTAAACTCAGAGAACATGGCCTCTCCAGCCCGTGGCTCTCAAAGCAACTTAAAACCCGGTTCCAGACCCGAGTCCCACAGGCCCGACCCTCCCTCCACGCCGGCTGTGGCTGCGGGCACCTGGCCGAGCGCCCCGGGGCCCCGGGAAAGCCCTGTGCTCCGGGTCCTGGCCAACCGAGGAGGGTCCTTGCAGTGCACCCGTGTCCTTACCCGGAGGGACGCCTTCAACGCCAGGCTTAAAGACATGAACACACACACACGGGAATCTTAGGCAGTCTGGTTTGGTCCCATCTTCCAGGTCACGGCCGTCAGCCAGCGGAAGGGTGAACCAACCACAAGGTTAAGTTTCATCCGAGTTCCTCTCGGTCTTGGATGCTCATCACCTGCTGTAAGCGTCCCTCATTCCTCACTTTCGGCCTAGGGGAGCCCACGGCTCCTGATCTTTCCTCCCAAACAAATAAACGAGAACTCAAAACACATACCTTCCAGTCGGGTACTAGAAGAAATCCCGAGGGCTGTTCTGTTCCTGAGGGAAAGCAGAGCTGGACCTGAACCCGGCTGGTCCAGCCGGAAGCTCCCTGATGAACCAGCGGAGCCGGACACCCAGCCCGGGGCGGGGACACTGTCGGCTGTGTCTCTGTCAAAAGCAATGGCTAAGATCGCACCCAATCTTCTCACCCTGATCACGGCAGGCTGGGCAGGAGGCCGCTGCAGCTCCCATTACTACGTTCTTAAAACACATCCCACAAAGTCTATGAAACTGTTTAGAAAAGATTTATTTGAACATATGAAAGAAAACTTGAGGCCCCAGTAAAACAGATGTCCCTTTCCGGGGTGACGGGCAGTCCCCACGGGTTCCTGTGAACAGCGCCACGTGCCGTGAGCTGGAGGTCACAGGTTTTGCTGGAAGCTCACAGGGCCGTCGGTAGGGCAGGAACACATCCCATTCGCAAGGAGAGAAGCCAGACACGTGGACGTGCAAACGCTGCTTCGCACACCCGTGTCCCCGACAGCACAGGCTCGGAGCGTGTGCGTCTGGAATGACACGAGACAACAGGCTCTCAGGACCGGCATCTCTGAAAGATGCACGCGTGGCTCTGCGGGGGGCTGGACACTCAGCCTTTTGTCTATCCAATCTGGACTCTCACCCACGTAACCAGGTAGGAGGCACCTGGACTGCGACGTCACAGATCTTCTGCCCTGAGAGTCGTGCTGGTGAGGAGGGGCCGCCCGCTGGCTCCCAGAGGTCCTCCTCTGTGGGCTGGTCACCCTCTCTGGAAGGCTTCCTCCCCCCAGGCGCAGGAGGCGCAGTGCCACTCAGTGGTGGGTGGGGCCGGCCTAGCGGATGGGCCGGAATGGAAACGTCATGCCCGAGAGGAAGGTGTGCCCGGGGTGTGTGGGCAGGGCGGGGTGGGCGGCAGGGTGGGCAGGCACGGCCCCATAGCCCAGGGGGGGCGTGTGGATGTGAGGGTAGAAGCCAGGGGGGAGCGCCGCGTGTGGCGACTGCGGCACGGGCCCCGAAATCACCAGCTGCAGCAGGCTGCAAACACAGGAGAAGATTAGGACGCAGATCCTGGCAGCAATGTTACTTTCCTATGACTCTGGGTAAGAAATTCGATCAATATAAGCAAACAAGTAAATAAACCTAAGTGGGGAATACTATAGAGGCAAAATTCGGGTCTCTGTCAGAGACAGAGGTTTCGAGAAGTTTCCAGTCTAGTTGAAAAGACAGTTAACACAAAAGAGCCAATCAGAAAGCAAAGATGGATCCCAAGTGACTGTCCCCTCCTTCCCCACACCAGACCAGGCTGCCTGGATGCTGGGTTCCAGGATGGGCACATCAGGAGAGGCAGGGCCCTGCCAGGGCCCAGTGATGACGCTAAAATGACAAAGGATTTATGCCTATCATTATTCTAATGCCCCCCAAACACTAAACATTAAAAAAAAAAAAAACAGAGAGAAAGGAACTATCACAAAGGGATTATTGCAAGAGAGGTAAGAGGTCCCAGCTGTGCTAACTATGTCCTCAGGTGCCAGGGAATTTCCTTGGATTCCAGAAAAGCAGCAGCTCCTGAGGGAAAAGCGGCCCCTGGACAAGCTGTCCACGCAGCTGATGAAATCTCAGGCAGGGCCACTTTGTTCCACCAGGAGCCACTGTGCTCCACCTCCTCAGCTTCCGTATCTACCCAGACACCCGACCCAGCTTCCCCTGCACAGCCGGACACAGTCCCATAGCCATGCACGAGGACGCGGGTCTCCCGGCTGCAGTTATCTCACCGGCAGCCCGTGAATTAGCATCTGGCTGATCCTTTGGCCTCAAATTATGCGTATCTCAGTACCAGCCTGCCACCCCTGCCCAGACTTGCTGGCCCTGGCCCAACAGGGCTGGCTCGCTCACCCTCTGTCCATACTGCCTGCCAACGCCAGCCCTGGAGCCTTATCACCCCCGTTATAGAACAATGCAGCCCTGACCAGTGTGGTTGTTGCTTGGAGCATTGACCTGTGCACCGAAGGGGGTTGAGTTTGATTCCCAGTAAGGGCAAATAACCAGGTTGTGGGTTCGATCCCTAGCTGGGGTGCGCACAGGAGGAAACAGATCAATGTTTATCTCTCACATCACGTTTCTCTCTCTTTCTAAAATCAACTTAAAAAAAAAAGACCATGTGACCATCTGAAGAAAGAATGAGCCAACCTACCTCGGTACCTGGGTGGTTTCATCTCTGTAAACCCTGCATGTGCGCACTGTAGGGCGTATGGGAGCTCTGCCTTCAACTATAAACATTTCCACCAGTTGCCACAGTTAACTACTTTTAGTGGATACCATGTTCTACCCTCATGTAACACGACAAACTTAGTAACATTTCCACAGCCAATTGCCAAATGAGTACTTTTAGTGGATACAATGTTCTATCCTCATGTAGTATCAACAAACTTACTAAGTATCCCCACCTGTGGGACAGTTAGGTTGCTTCCAGGTTTTTGCTAATACTGCACTTAGGTGAAACATTTTTGTGCACATAGCTTTTGCTTCTTAGAGTCAGTGAAATTAATTAGGTTAAGTAAAATCCCTAAATTATGGAAATAACAGTAAAAGTGACAGTAGCTAACACTTCTTAGATACTTAACTACATAGCAAGTCCTGTTCTATGTGCCCTATGGCAGGAAGAGGGGGAGGAGGCAGGAGGACAGGAGGCAGGTACTGTTACTTTCTCGGTTTTACAGAGAACAGGAGGCGGTGGGAGATAAGGAATCTGCCTGAGGTCACACAGGAAGTAGCAAGGTTGGAATTTGTCCCAGAAGATGTGTGACCATAGTACCTCTTTCCACCACCATGATCACTGCTTCCCCAAATTACAATAATAACCACCATTTACGGAGAGTCCATATGCTGCAAACTATGCTAAGGAATTTATAAGTGTCACCTGCTTAACCTTCACTATAACCCCAGGAGGCAGGTGAATCAGTGCCCCCATTTTACAGGAGGGTCAACTGAGGCTCAGAGATAGCAAAGACAAACGAAGCACCATAGCAAACCACAGAAAGAATGGCGCTCAGCACCATCAGTGCCGCATGATGCCAAGGCGCTGGCCTGGCCAATCCACTGTGCCCCAGGGCTGTGGCTCTGCAGTTTCCCAAAGGGCTACGCAATGCAGTGTCACCAAGTGTGCACCAGCGCTTAGAAAGCGTGACACTCTAACTGATTCTGGTTTCTTCCCTGGACTCCAGCAAGATGACCACCTCTTTTATCTTTGATTTACCCTCTCCCTGGCCTTCCTCTCATGTGGGCTATGCCACCGTATCTGTCCCCCACTTATCATCAGTCCTTAAAGTAAGGGGCTCCTTATATACAGAAGCTCTGGACCCTGCAGACCAGAAAGGGGTCCACCCTGCCTTGCACCCACCTGCAACCCCCACCCAACTAGAGGTCTTGAGAGGACACTTACTTGTTATGGGGCAGCCTGGAGCACAAGGTTCTCAGATCATCTGAAACCAAGGAGACACAGAATTAAGGAAGGGAGTGGAGAAAACAAAAAGCTTTCATTGACAGCTTTCCAAGGATGTTGGTAAGACAGTGAGGCTGCCTGATGCTACATTCCCTAGCATTGTTTAGAAGCTGCATTTTTTTTTCAGTTTTTGCTTTAACAAACTGGGCCCCAAAGAGAATATATCACTTAGGGAAGGGGCAGCTCTATTGGCAATTTGTTGGAAGCTGGGAAAGGGCCCCAAGGCTGGGCTCTCACCAAGCAGATCAGCTGCCCAAGGCATTAAGAGCCTGATAAGAGGGAACCCCATCACCAGTGACCACAACAGGGTGGGGCCACGGGCAGTTTCTGGGAGCCAATGGTTCAAAGGCAAACACAGTCCTGGCCAGTGTGTCTCAATCGGTTGGAGTGTCGTCCATGCACCGAAAGGTTGCCGGTTCAATTCTGTCAGGGCACATACGCAGGTTGCAGGTTTGATCCCTGGTTGGGGAGTGTATGGGAGGCAAATGATCGATCTCTCTCTCCCTCTCCCTTCCTCACTCTCTAGAATCAATGAAAAGACAAAGGCAAACACACGTGTGTCATCAGTACAAGCTCTTTCTCCTGGGAACCATCAAACACTGAAATGCAAGAGAATTGAGGAACCCTCAGAACAGGTGAGGGGAATGTTTTATGCATTTAAACCTGCGTTTTTACTGCATGTAAATTACGCCTCGATAAAAAGGACTGCAGAAAAAGAAGATTCTCTACGAGGAAAGATGTTAAGCTATCACACTCTTGAGGTGTCCCAAGTTCTGAGCACCAATGGCCAGGAGCCACAGCAACATCACGGTCACAGTGCTCTGCTGGGTATGTCCTGAGACTCCCCTCTGCTTCCCCATGCCCACTAACAGGGACAAGTCTTAAAGGAGGCAGAGCAGAGCACTGAGAGCCCCTATTTTCTTCTGGGTGGATAGTGTGTCCCCACCCGTAGGAAGGCCTTAGCAGGAAACCACCCACCTCTCGTGCACAGCAGGGCTCCAGAGGCCATGGCCACCTGCAAAGCCTGGGCGAGGCGGTCCAGAGAGAGCTCAATCTCCTGGGAAGCGTTGAGGGGGTTCAGTTCATCTGCCAGCCTGTTGATCTCCTCCACCAGTGGGACCATGTGGTCGAACAGGATCAGCCCCAGGCGCCCGTAGAGGTTCTTCTCAGTCAGGTGCACCTGGAGCACCATGAGCACCTGCAGGATGCTCAGGTGCAGTTTTGAGTACAAGAGGTGGGAGTCTTTGTCCATCCCCCCCGAGTCCAGGGCAGCTTTGGTGGAGACGTGGCCATTGGCTAGGGAGGGCTTCTTCTTCCTCTTGTACGCCAGAGGCGCCTTCACGCACCAGCGGATCAACCCGGTGAGCGGAGTGAGCTCTAAAAAACCTATTGGGAGGTTGGCTGCAATTGGAGTGTTTAAAAACGTGATGAGAATCAACCTCGAGTCCTCAAAAATCCAGGTGACGATCATTTCAAGCAAGTCCAGCGGCGGGATGAGGTCATCTGCAAAGACACATGGAGTCAGGAGGGTTCCAGCCCCAGTGACAGAAGTGGGCAGAGGAGACAGACCCCTCGTTCACAGTACTTACCACCCAACATTCAGATCACCTACTTTGCTCATCTGTTTTCTGTCTTGTTCCCTAGAACGTCCCTCCACAAGGGCTGGGACTCTCATCTTATTCATGGTTATTTCCCTGGTGACAGGACTGTCTGGCCACAGTAGGGCTCAAGAAATACTTGTTAATCCAACAATTCCCTAGAACTCCATATGCCTTGAAGAAAGTCCATCCTATGTGTCATTTTAAATCAAATTCCATAATATTTATGTCCAAAACCACCACCACACTTCACCTCTTCCCCTTCATGTTTGTTTGGTGTCTCCTCCAGGGTACATGACAGTTCTGGTGGCCTTCAAGGAGCAGCTCGCAGTTCAGTCAGTGATCTGTCAGCTGCTAAGGGCCACCCCAGCCTCAGCCTGGAACCCCTATCTAAGCAACAGCCTGACCTCCTGTGACCCTAGGAACTGGCATATTCTACAGCCTAGACAGAGACTAATAATAAAAGCAAATTCTGACATTTACTTTGGGCTTACTATGTTCCCGGCACTGGGCTAATTCCTTTACATGGATTAACACATTCAATCTTCAAACAACCACAGAGGAAACTGAGGCATAGTGATGTTCAGTAACTTCCCTAGGACCCATCAAATGTATGTGGTGGGCCCAGATCTGACCCCAGGTGGCCTGGCTCTTAACCATGAGGCTACATGGCCCTGCCTGGGATCGGCATGCAATACCGTTAGGTGGCTGGGAGTGGGTCCCCAGCCTCCCGTCTCGGGCTGTGCACCCCTCAGCCCAGTGATCTACGTTTCTCCAAATTCATCAAGTTGTAACAGTAAATATGTGCAGCTTTTTGTATGTCAATCACACCTCCATAAAGTGGTTTAAAAGAAATAACCAACACAGCAGACTGGCAAACTGGCTTGAGAAAAGACCACGCCCCACAGCCATTCTAGGAGTCAGTGGTGATCTCTGAGCATTATTTCTTTTTCGTGTTAACCCATTCCAGTGCTACGGCCAATTTGTCCTTAAGCTAGGTTTAACCAAATCTTTTCCTATTGGAAAACAAAAGGCCTGAATACTGTTCCCAGCCATTATTTACAGCTGCCAGATCAGGAAAGAAAGAGACTGTTGCCCTGGCTGGTGTGGGTCAGTTGACTGAGCATGTCCCATGCGTCAGGTCACCAGTGAGAAAGAATCCTGATCAGGGCACATGTGCAGTTGCGAGCTCGATCACCAGTAGGGGGCGTGCAGTGCAGGAGGCAGCCAAGTGATGTTTCTCCCTCTCTCTCCTCCTTCCTCTCTCTCTCAAATCAATAAACATATTAAAAAAAAAAAGACTGTCAGCGCTCTGAGGGCAAGCGCCAAAGGCAGAGCAGGAACCTGAAACAGAAAAGCAGGCTTTGAGCAGCTCTGCAGAGAAAGCTACTAACCAGGGTGAGGCCTCTAACTGCCCCGCGTGGAGAGCAAGGGCGACAGCCCCTGCCCCAATTCAACCAGAGCTGGGCAGCTGCTACTGGTTTTCTTTATTAGGAGTCTGCACAGATCTGACCACAGGGACAAGGGCTTCTCCCAGCTGAAGTCGAATGCGATTTAATGGCCACCTGAGGACCTCTCCTGGCATCTTGCTAAGGAAGCCTCAAAAATATCACTGAGAGCAGACCTGAGGTGCATGTCCTAGTGCAATGCACTGAGGACACATCTTGCTGAGGGAGCATTGCTGCCAAAAATGTTTCACTTGAGTCTTTTCACAATGAGAGAAATCCAAATCAAGGGGCATTCTGCAAAACAACTGCCTGAGCTCTTTAAAAGGTCAATGTCATAAGACATATTTTTAAATGCTGGTAACTGTTCTAGATTTAAAGACCAAAGTGACATGACCACTCTGTACAATGTATGATCCATGAGCTGGATCCTGAATCCTCCTGATCCCCAAAGCAGAGAGGGGAGGCTACAAAAGACGGTATTGAGACAATCAGGGAAATCTGAACATAGGCTATCTGTGAGATAACAAGTAGTGTAACAAGTAGTAAACAAATTAACAATGTTTTATTTCTTAAGTATGACAATGATATCATGGTTGTGCAAGGGAATGGTCCCGTTCTGAGGAAATACATGCTTAAGTACTTGATATTGGCCACAAATTCAAAAGTTCAGGAAAAAAACATTTGTGAGTGTGTGGACAGGAAGGAAGGGACAGCAGGAGCAGGTATGGCAAATGTTATCAGCTGGTGAACTGAGGTGAGCTTTACGGATGTCTGCTGTATGTTCTTGCAACTGTCCTGAAGTTTAAAAATTTTTCAAAATAAAAAGTGAGGGATCAGAAAACAAGTCAAGCCTAGGGAGAAAGTCATGTCTCTCCCAGACACCAGAGCCTAGCATTTTGGCCTGTCTGCCCCTTGGACCATTCTGAGCCAGGCAACTGGGGATCACTAAGGAAAACTCCCCATTAGCTAATTCCAGAAGTCCAGGTGGCCCATTCCTGTTGCTTTCAGCCTAAAATACAACACATATGTCAGAGAAAAAGAGGCCAAAACACCGAAACGTTCCCTGGACATTTCACCAGAGTGTCAGTGGCAATAAAACAGGCAATGACCCGCTTGATGTTTACCTGATGAAAGGTCGTAGAGCGCAGTGACGGACGTGATGAACTGGCAACAGAAGCGGGGGCTGGCACTGAATATCTGCTTCAGCGTCTGCACGGAGCCAGGCACCAGACAGCAGTAGTCATCCACAAGGGCTCTGGCCAGTCGCACGCAGTACACCACAGGCGTCCGCTGCAAAGAAGCCCCAGTCCACATAACCACAGGTGTCATGAGCTAGCCACGAGCAACATGTACACCTAGTGAAGACCGCCAGCAGTGGTGGAACCCTCCAGTGGGGCAAGGACGTGAACAGCTTGCTCTGACGCAGGGGTTGGCAAACTCAAGCCTGCAGACCGAATCCACCCTGCCACCTGTTTCTGTGAATGTGGTTTTACTGAAACTGCCCTGTTCACGAGCCTGCCTACTGTCTAGGGCAGAAACAAATAGCTGTGACAGACACCTTATGACCCACAAAGCCAAAAATATTCACTATCTTGCCAGTTTACATAAAAGGCCTGCAGACTTTGGCTCCGAAGTTTATGTAGGAAAGATCATTTCTGACATCTGTAACCCTGTAGTTGAAACTCCAATGGCAAATATATTAATAGCTACTACCACTTTATATAAATATGTCTTTATTTCAGAGAGAGAAAAAGAAACGTCAATGATGGAGAGTCATTGATTGGCTGCCTCCTGCACGTCCCCTACTGGGGGCAGAGCCCACAACCCGGGCATGTGCCCTGACTGGGAATCAAATGGTGACCTCCTGGATCATAGGTCAATGCTCAACTGCTGAGCCACGCCGGAACTATCACAAGACAGAGTGGTACTCTGCATTTCTCTTACAGTTCTATCCTCTTACAGGTTTCTGTAATACTTTGAAATCCTCCATCCCCACCCTCCCTGGCCTCTTTCCTTCTCCCTCAGATGCCAATCGGTAACTACTGCCAGGTTCAACATCTCTGGGGCCCCAACATGGCCTCCAGGGGAAACTGCAGAGCAGATGGCCCACTGAGGCTGAACTCTGCCCACACCACCACACCAGCCACCTCTGCCTCTCCTCGGGAGGAAGTTGCAGCCCCCAGCCCCAGTGTGGCAACCCTGACCCAGACCACGAGGACCCCGTCCTGTTGCTCGCATCTGTTCTCATTCTGCCGGAACGCCAACACAACTGCACCATGAGAGATGGATAGAAAATCACGTGACGAGTTACAGGATGCTAAACTTGACCTCATTAGGCTGCCAAGGCATAGAGGTGATCTTGAGGTTAATGACCACACACACGATCAATTCAGATGCCCCAGAAATACTGGTGAGAATGAAGGCAGAGACTCCACTGAGGTTTACCTGTGTACTACAAAGAACGGTATCTCTTTCTGCTAGGCAATTTTTAAAACTGATTTGAGAGAGAGGGGGAGAGAGAGGAAAAAAACAAGGATTTGTTATTCAACTTATTTATACATTCACTGGTTGGTTCTTGTATGTGCCCTGACCAGAGACTGAACCCACAGCCTTGGCGTATCAGGATGATGCTCTAACCAAAAGAGCTATCCTGCCAGGACTTGCTAGTCAAATTTTAAGGATAAAAAAGATTACAAGATGCCCTGGCCAGGTGGCTCAGTTGGTTGGAGCATCATCCCGTACACCAAAAGGTTGTGGGTTCAATTCCCAGTCAGGGCACATACCTAGGCTGTGGATGGGTTCAGTCCCCAGTTGGGGGGCGTATGAGAGGCAACCAGTCAATGATTCTCTCTCTCTTCTTCTCCCTAAAAAAAAATCAATAAAAACATATCCTTGGGTGAGAATTTAAAAATAAAGATTACAAGAAAACATTTAAATACATTAAAAACAAACAAAAAAAATGGTTTCAAGAACTTAGGAATGAACAGGTGTGTGAAACGGATTGCAGTAAATTTTGTTAGCATAGCTGAGGATATTAATCAAAATTTTCAGTTAATAATTACTCTAGCCCGGCTGGCGTGGCTCAGTGATTGAGCACTGACCCATGAGCCAGGAGGTCACCATTCGATGCCCAGTTACGGCAGGTACCCCAGTTACCGGCTCCATCCCCAGTCGGGGGCGTTCAGGAGGCAGCTGATCAATGACTCTCTCATCATTGATGTTTCTCCTCTCTCTCTCTCCCCCTTCCTCTCTCTGAAAGCAATAAAATAATAACAACTACTCTAAGTGGATTATCAATTTTTCAAAGACTCTGAGTAACAAAAAGCAAAACAAAATGAATCTTAGAAATACCAGCTAACACAACACCTACTGTAAATATACACTTTTCCTCTGAAATTTATAAACACTCAGAAAGCTCTTCTGTTCCTCTCCGTTACAACAGCCATCTACTTTGTAATGTCACCTTAGAACAACACAAAACAACTCGCTTGCTGACCTGTGTACGAAACAAGCAAACATGCCACAATTTAACATGTAATGTGCTTTTAAAAAAAAAAAGAAAAAAAGAAAATTCTCTCTCTGAGGCTGCATGCATAGTTGTTTCAAAATCCTATCATTTTCAACTAAGAAAAATGACTTTTCACTTGTTCTGAAAATGGAGCCTTTCTCTTTTACATTAACGTACCATCACAAACTACTGTTTTCTTAAGAATGGTTATGTACATAAATATAGGTCTGGGGCATCAGCACATATGATAGTGACATCAAGGAGATAACATGCGGCCAAGGCCTCAAGAAATCCATGCCCGGCTGGGCGTGGCTCAATGGTTGAGCCNNTGCCCGGGTTGCGGGCTTGATCAATGACTCTCTCATCATTGATGTTTCTATCTCTCCCTCTCTCCCTCTCCTTTCCTCTCTCTGAAATCAATAAAGATTTTAAAAAAAAAGAAAAGAAAAAGAAATCCAATTAACTGAAAATTCCCGACACTAAGCTGCTCCTTGGAGACTCGGGAGAAGGCTCTTACCTGGAGCCAGGAGGCGGCACACTCCAACACTGGGATCCGACACACAGCCACGGCCATGGAGACCAGTTTCCCCAGCAAGCTCATCCGGCTGTCATCTGCTTTGTTGCCTTGGGGGCTGAAAAGGGATGAGAAAATAATCTGCCGCACAGAGTCCTTGGTTTGCTCCTGGAAATAATTGCACATGATTTCAAGAAGTTGGAGCTCCTGCAGTGAATTCAATCTCTATAAAAACAAATCCGGGAGAAGCGATGAGAAACTCGGCTTTAACGTGCATATTCATTCACACAGTAAGAAAACAGAAAATGGGCTCTTTCCCCAGGGAACCCTTCACCCCTCTACGGCCCAGGTGCCAGGGAGGAGACCTCTGCTGTTAACCCCGGGACGCGTTTATACGTCGCTGCGCACCACCCGGGGGGTCTCTAAGCC